ATAATTTCATATTATCATGCACAGTTTGCTCCTAGAGTAAAACATGGCATTATTTTTTGTGGAACATGAAGTCATGTGCTAAGGGTTCTTATATTACAAAAAAGGGCATTGAGAACAATAGCTGACGTAGCACCGCGTACAAAGAACTTTTCAAAAAGTACACTATGATGACAGTTCCAAATATTATGATGGTAGAACTATTAATGCACGTTAAATCAAATTTATGTAACTTTCCAGTCAACTCAGATTTTCATGCATATAACACTCACAATAATACTGCAATAGTCATCCCCTCACATCATAGGAAATTATATCAAGGATATTAATGATCTGAGCATATACAAAAAGACGCTGACCACCTACTTCATGAATAAGCCTTTCTACAGTGTGTCGGAGTATCTCGAATCTTGAAGGGGATCTGTTAAGCCTCTTCTGCAATGTTTTGTATTCTGAGGTAGCCTGTAGTCATAATTATAAATATGTATACTATCCTTTGAGTGTGCATCGATGTTTCCTATGCCACGTATTTGGTCGATTGGAATAAATTGATTATTATTATTCAAGTAAGGAACACCTGAGTAGATATTATAATCTTTAATTTAAATATTAGGAAACCTAAAGTTTGGGTACTCCCACACATTAAAATTCAACCAGAGGATGACAAGAGTGCAAAAAGTGTTGAAGCGAATTGAATCTAGAAAGCATAGCTCTGTAAGTTCAACCATCACAGAATATGTTGTAAGTTCTAACCAAAAGACAGAGCTGAATCTGTGTTTGAAGGTCGACTTAAGTGAACAATTCGCGGTCGGTTGGAAAAATGCACGATCGTGTCTTTTTTCAAAAGATTGTTCTCCACAACTATTTGCACCACTGAAAAATTTAAGACCAAGATTGCTGCTGGGCTTGTGGTGTCCTCGCACAACAACGCACCGAAGTATCGTACTCAATTAACTCAATAAATTTCTAAGAGTCTGGAATACACGTTTTAGATCATCCTCTTCATAACCCTAACTTGGCGCTGTGCGATTTCAGTTCCATTTCCAGGATCACACCTAAGAGTTTGCAGCTCTAACATCTGAAGACAAACTGATTACAGCATCGCAGTCATTGTCTCTTGAGAAGGAGCAACGGGTGTACTGGTTTGATTTTTGGTTTTTACGTATTAGTTTTTTCTACGACTTATGCCGTGCCTTAGATACTTACATTCTCACAACCCGTAATGCCAAAAGCATGCACGCTTGATTCAGTTCATCAATCACATGCGATATAATTTAGAACCCGAAAACAATAAATTTCAGCATACCTTCCCAGAATCCGGGTTTTTAATTCTATAATCGTGTGAATTCGACCAGATCGAAAAATTACACACGAAACAGATTTACTCGAAAGGCTCCCTTGCAATCCCTATCTATCACGACTCATTGACAGGGGCGAATCAAGGTCGACGTTTAAAAAATTATCTCGCAGAAATAATTATCGATAATAGCAATCCAACTCTATTAAACAATTAAATGTAATTTATTGTAATGGCTCACGCGATTTCCAGATGTCAGTGGCAAAGATTGATGGATCCAGTAGGGATGATGGTGATCGGCAGTTGTTTCGGAAGGTAGTAAGTCACCGCCGTAGCTTTTTATTAGCCATGGGCATTTTACAGATTCAAGGTCAAATCCCAGCGCTTGATGTGCGGATATGGACCACTTATACGTAGCATCATATGGTCTCCCGAAGAAGCTTTGCAGATGGGTGGCTGGCTTCCTCTCTGGCCGCAAAATATCCGACGTAATTGACGAGTTCTCCTCCCCATCCCACAATGTCATCGCTAGTGTTCCCCAGGGATCTGTTTTGGTTACAATATTGTGTCTATAGCATACCAGCGACCTCCTGTCATGTGTGATCAATCTAATCAATAGCTTTGCTGATGATACCACTCTACGCGCAAGCATTCAGTGCGGCAAGCCGACTTCTTCTGATGAGCTGGTAGTACTATATTTTGGATAATCCCCGGGGTACAGACAGCTTAGGCCCGTCGCCATTTGTTTGAACGCCCGCGTGCAATACCGATTTAGCCGCCCCATGTATAACTAACTCTACGCTGAGTGTCGGTGAATCACTGGAACGGGTTCGATCACATAAAATCGGTTGAACTACTTCTACGATTCCGAGTTCCAAATCGAATCCAAAGCCATTGTACTATAAGGGCATGAGAAAATAAAAAAAATAACAAAAAATACTGTATTTAGACATAAGCACATGTTTATTTCTACAGAAATTAATCTTTTCTTGCCTTTATGTTTGAAAAATCAAGTTTTTCGTATCCAAGCTGTCTAAAACTTGATGTTCAATAGAAACTATAGCTGAATTACTTAGTCTTTGCTGGTGCATTGTTGACCTCAAAAAGTTTTTTATAATCTCTGACTTTGAAAAACGCCTTTCACCGGATACAACTGTGACTGGCAATGTAATATTCGTAGCGCTATTGCTGTGTTTGGAAATATTGAAATTAAATCAATAGTAAAAGGGTATTACAACAAGCTATGAAAATCATTGGACTGATTTTCTGGAAAGTGCAATTTCAAAGCTCTAATTTCATTAAATAAATCGATACCGTCAATGTCAGTTTCGCCAGTAGATTCGTCTGTAAGCTTTAGATTTAAATTTTTACAATGTGTCATTAAGTCATCGTTGCAGTAATTAAATAACTTATTGTTTAAAAAGCCAAATATGTCAGTAAAAGTATTTAGCTCCTAGAATCTGTCCTTTAGAGAGGTTAGCGTCTGATCTAAGATTCTGAATGGGACGAATCGTGTTTATTGGCGGCAAATTTGCTTGTACGTTGAGAACCTGAGCTACATTAGTAGCTTCTTGTAATAGCTTAGGAAAGTGCTCATCTGTGCTATATTCGGTTAACTTAATAATCAATTTGTCCAACAAATTTGCACAGATTTGTATGTTCATTGTGGGGCTTTGCATCATTTTGCTTAAAGCATTAATTTTGTTTAAAATATCAAACCAAATTATTATTGAGTAAGTAAATCTATAATTTTGAATGCTCAGAGCAAGCGAATGAGCTTTGAGAGATGTAGCACAATCCCGTTCCTACGAATTATTGTCAAATACTTTTTCAAGATGGTACCGTAATGATTTGACTACATCGACTCTGCTCCTTATTGTGACATGGTAAACATATATAAGACATACAAATTATGAAAATGTTTCGTTTTTGTTTCCATATCTGTTTTTGCCACCTCCTGGAAAATGCCGCCCTTGTGCGGCGCACGCTCTGCAGGCCCGCACCCAGCGGGCCTGAGACAGCTTTCTGTCAACAGAATATATTTTATCCATATTACCTCGACATACGTTGTTAACACTGAGAAGAGTTTCTTATAATGGAGCCTCCAATACGAGTAGTCCACCTTCTGGTAGCTTGTTTCTTATTTACCATACGTTATGAACAAATTAATGAGGGGAGAAGACTGGCGAGTCCATCTAGCAGATCTAAAATATCCATCATGTGTGCGTAGTCAGATCGGTCACCGAGAAATTATGTCATATAAAATTCTCGCGATCGCAGACATTCCTTCATTTAGCAATAAAAGGAGACTAGCCCGCGTGGTGCGATTTGGGTAACGTGCTTTCATCGCCGCCAAATAGTCTACATAGCTCGCTGCTGGACCTATTAGGATATCCTAGCTGACACATACAGAATGAATCGGTGATCGAAAGGTCCCGGCCCTTCTAAAGACCTACATACACGGGATACTGGAAATATAATAATTTTACAGCTCAACTTAGAAGAAGACGAACACCAAAGATAAATCTACTGTGCTGGCAAACACGAACTAAACAATTAATTAAAGCTTCCTGAGTAATATCTGTTAGTTAGTAAATTCCAAGCAATCTACTGCTAACGGCACAGGGGCTAAACAATAAAACCTCTTCTATCTGCATGATTGAAGACAGAACTCCTTCCAATATGCTGAATGGGGACAAGATTACAACCCAGACCTATGCTCATTCCCAAAGACCAACACAAGAGGCTCATGCGTTGCAACATAGAATAGAATAGTCTTGTCCAATTTCTCTAAAAACCAACAACTCGTTTGATACATAATATAACGTTCTTTGTCTGGCCAATAGACCACAAAATGCTCACTAGTTACTTTTATATTCAGGGGCAACAAAAGTGTTTTTCAGTGTAAACTAAAAAAATTTAAAAAAAAAAACAGGTGCTCAGCAGTTAGGATAGTGCTCGATGATTGGACTAAAAAGGAGCAGCCGAGTCGTCAATATGGTTCCGTTTCAAAAAGTATAGCACGTCATTACATTATGTTATTCTTGCCTTGTCCATCGCGCCTTTCTTGATCAACAATCATTTTATATTTTTTCTTGGAACAGACTCGAGCATCAGTTAAAACGGTTTTTCGTTTGTCTTTATTTAATATTTATTGAAAGGTATAGGTGGATTTGTCATGTACCTAGAGAACAAATCACCACTCCTCCAACAAAACCATGAATTTGCTTATTGTTATGACAATGCTGCATATTTTGCACATTGTGCTCTTCATTCCATAAGAACGTTTCATACAGATATGCAATATCCCTAAGTCAACCCAGCAACGGTTAATGAACAAAAAAATAATACAATTTCGGAGGTTTAATTTTTTATAACATTTTACAAATTGACAGCATCTTTATTGGTAATCGCATGATGAATTATGTTTTATGCTGCTTGTGGTAGCCACACCTTTTCAAACAATAAAATTATAAAGATAATATCTACTTGTGCTGTTTTGCAATGTCATATTTATAAAGTGGATACATGTAGATAAGCAATACAGTCATAATACAAAACTGTAATTTTAGAATGTGAAACAATAGATAGGTACCAATTAAAAAAAGCAATAAGTCGGGAAATAAGAATTTATTGGCGTGCTGGTAAAAATACTTAAACTAATAATAAGTTACAATATATACATATATAACATAACAGAATATTTACCATTATAATGATACTTTGCAATGTGTGTCTTAAGTAAGAGTGAATAATTTGATGTTGTTAAGTGATGCAAAATCACAGAAAAAAACACGTTGGCTCCTAGTTTTTAAAAATGCATCCCTTAACGAACATCAAATTATGTGTAAACATTGAGACCAGCTGAAGTCACAACTCTTATTTGAGACACATTGTACGTTCTTGGTACATGATTAAAACAAAAATCGGTAACAAAACCTCGCGATTCAATACTTTCACAATCAGTCTCATGAACAGAGGTAGAATAAAATACTCAACATCTTTGGCAACAAGTTTACAGTAGATACCCAACAAAAAAAAATCTCATCAACTGAAAAATTATCGTTTCATTATATCTTCTATCGAAAACCCAAGTTTGACTTTGGTCGACTGCATCTGGATCTCAATATTCTTTTTGGTGAGGTCCAGACAGGAACTGGCACTCTGCGTTTCCAGTGCGACCTGAGCCTCTTTGATTCTACAGCGCGAGACCTCGTGAGTTTTTAGGTCACTGTAACTGGCAAAGAACTGGGAACAAACGAGACACTCGATCGGTCTGTCTGTGTGCGTCAACATGTGGGTCTTCAGGTTTGACCTTTGGTTGAAAGACTTGCTGCAAAATGGACACTTGTGGGGTGACTCTTCCATATGGAGGATCTTGTGAACAGCCAGGGTGCGTGACTGGCAGAAGCCTTTGCCGCACTCGCTGCATTTGAAGGGCTTTTCTTTGCTGTGAATGTATCTGAAATAAAGGAAAAAAAATAGTTACATCCCTAAATTCACAATAATGAACGATATATTTGGAAAGACCATTTCTCGCATGGAAGACGTTCTGATTGTTATCTTGTAAAGGACAAATATTGAAATACAGAGTGATTTGAATAAGTATATCTTTAAGGCGAATATCACACGATCAGTATTTACTGCGGTTCATACCATCAGTATCGACTCATGATGTCGTCATTGTGAGTATATTTCTAAGTAGCCTGTCACATCAGTAATTACTGACTACACGGTCAGTAAGTATCGGCTAGTAGTAAATACTGATGTGTCATTCGACTAAGGCTCTACGGTAGCCTGTAACCATGCATCAGTGGTTCCAATAGACCGTAATTATTTTCTTTTGACGTTCATGGATTATATTTAGGCTTGCCAAAGGTACGGGCTAAGCAGAGAAAAATGGTTTGCATTTTTAAAAAAAAAAATGTTTTGTAAAGAGTATAGGATGTAATATTCAAGAGAAATTGCAATGCCAAAATAAATTAGATATAAGGTAGGGGAAGATCTAGAGCAGATCTTTCCATAAGATTACATAAAATTTAAATATTTTTGCACGGATATTGTAATATTTCCTAATTTGCTGTTTATACCTCAAAAACCAAGTAGGTAGTCTTGTCACTTTTTGGGAAACATTTCAAAGCATTTGCTTCCATGAAGCACTTTTCTTTCATATGCTTGAAACCACCGTCTATATCTCAAAGGATGAATAATTTCAGACACATACACCATTTTTGGCATATCGGACCATCACTTCTCACATACACGGATAAAAATTTTGTGTTTCCTTCTGGAAGTCTAAGAACGACAAATAATCTTTTTCCTCTAATCAGACAATATTTATGTTACTCTTTGGAAAATGATACTTCATGAAATACTTTCTCAATTTTCTTATTTTCAGTGAATACCTGAATGAAGCCATGATACTGTTACCATCTCTTTCGAATGCGTGACGCCACTCGGTGACAAAAATCCACAGAGACGGGTGACAAACGTTCAGTTTTATATGGCTCTTTCAAATAAGCCTCTATGTGAAATATAATTGGAAAAGAGTAAATTAAGTGTTTAAATATGGTGTCTGAGCAGTGGTGGGTTGTTCAAGCAATAACAAGAAAAGCGTTTTGAATTTTAGTTTCTTCAGTTTTTCAAAGAACAGACAAGTTTTGGGAACAATGGAATCTTAAGCGTTAACAGCAGCACAAAATTGATAATTTCTAATTAAACTGAATGTAATGAACACGACCATATTTTCCACAATTTCAACGCAAAAATTATTTAAAATCGTTAATGGATTTAGCCGCATCTGTTAGTGTATGCCTAACAAATTAATATATGTCAGTGATGTAAAAAGTTATTAAGAGCCTTTCACCCTGTCTATAGCCAATTCTTCAAAAGCGATAACTTTATAAAGCTATGTAGTCCGTCTATACGTATAATGATATACATCATTGTATTGTATTGACAAAACATCAAAATAAAATATTCTATATACTAAAATCATCATGTAAAAAGAAAAAAATGATAAGCGAATATTCCAAATATTGAAAAGATAAAGCTCTAATGCAATGCATTTCTTACCGAATATTTGTCACCGAGTGACGTAATGCGCAAAAGCGTGCGAAATCCAGTCGCGAACTTTTCGCATAATGGAATGAACCTGTTTCATGTACGCTCGCTGGCAAATAAATAACATTTAAAAAGGATTGTGTCAAAGGCTTTTGTAATTTCTAATAATTACCTATGATCTCTGAGATGATCTTGTCTTCTAAAGGCCTTCCCGCAGATATCACAGGAATAGGGTCTCTCATCCGTGTGCGTTCTTTCATGGATAAGTAGATTGTAGCTCTTGGTGAACTGCCTGTTGCAATACTTGCATATGAACTGTTTTTTGGGCCTGGCGCCGCCTACTGGTCCAGCACCGCCCATTTTTGGAGGTAGAGGAGCCGTCCTCATGCTACGTTGGTAGATAGCAGCGTTTCGCAGCCACTGGTTGACGAAGACAGGACTGTAGGGCGAGGGGTAGTGCTGCATCGGATAATGGGGAGGCTGGAAGGCGGGATCCATTTCTTGAGGGCGGTACCAGCCTTCGCAAGGATGGGCGGGCAGTGGTGGGGATAACGTAGGGTACGTTGGGGTATGAGGTGGAGTCAACAGGGCCGTGGAGGTACTGTCGGCTTCTTGTTTGATGTGGTGACTTAGGAGAAAGCCTTCGGGGTAACCTGGAATTGCAAAGTATATATTACGATGTGCTAAATAAGAAAGCAAATTTTTAGAAGTCAATCTAAGATCGAGGAAGTGATAAAATAAAAGTATACCGTAATTAAAAGCAAGTTTATGAAGCGCGTACCAGCGATATTTATGATGTACAAATATTTATAGCCTTCCTTATAAGTGTTTGATGGCCTATATAAATCGTCAAGGTGTTAAATATGTTTCGGTTACATAAATCATTTAATATTACCTACAACTTAGGTAAGCTAAATTGATTTGCTAATATGAAGTATCCGGTGTATGAGAATAATCTGCGGCAAATCTGATAAGAAAAGAAATCCATATTAACATTTCTAATGGATACAAATAGGTGCAAACGTTAACTAAACATGGATTGGACTACAAAAAGAATTGTTACTGAACAGGGTAGATACCAATTGTAATGGAAAATAATTATGACAGCTATCATTTTTCATAAAACACTACCAAGTAAAAGTAGCGTGACGTATGATACTTGGTAATAATTCACGGCTTAGTCTGTTGACGTAAGACTAATTTCTAGGCTAATGTGTCTACTTATAATGATATGGAGTCGCAAACGTTTTGTTGGTAAGCACGAAGAAATTATGTTGTGAAAATAAGTTGTCAGACGTAACGATGTAATGACGTTGTAAGGTATGCCCGAAAACACATTGATGAATGCGAGATATTGGAGTCATGGGTGTCCACAGGAGGGTACCAGGGCCGCCTCTGAAAATCCGGCTGAATCTTGCATATTTAGCATGATTTTACATCAGTTTCGGGGATTTCCAAATCTGTCCCGATAAAATTTCTCTCGCTCTTGGGGCAGGTGCACTTGTACAAAAGGTTGTTTTTTATCCATTATCAGTCCCCTGCGAACGCTCATGGTTGGAATTATATTCGATAATTAAGATTTTGGTAACTTATTTCACAAGTTAAACGTGATATAATACTCGTATTCACTACCAATTCAATCAGTATTATTTTAGCTACTTGCTTTATTATCTAGACTGATTATTGCTCACATTTAGATATGAGCATATTCTCAACCTTTCGTTATGGAAACAGACGGCTTTCTTTCAAAGAGCGTAGCGATCATTAAAAATAAATATTCATCAAGAAATATGAAGAATATTAACAATTAATCAGTCGAAATGTTATTACAAATGGAAATAGATAGGTTTGTAGCAGGAAAAGCTTTCTCGAGACTATTAAGATACTTGAGAAAAATATATAAACTTGTGATGGGGAGATACTATTCAGTCTAAACCGTATGGAAGCCCCCAAATTCCCAAAATCCGATCAACTTTGCCCACCGACAAAATAGGGACCCGGATTTCACTCTGACCACGGGGCCATTCAGCCAGAGTCCCCGAGATTGCTCTAGGCCCAGGGGCTTTTACATAGCTTAAGCTTATGTGTTTAAAAATGATACCAAAAGATCCAAACATTGGGGAAACCTTAGACAAAAACTCCTACATAGATTAATATAATCTTGAACTGTAAGCTCAAAAGAAGCCGATGAGAAGTAGGCAAACTAAAAGTACTGTAACAAAAGGTAAAGTGAATGCAGGATATCATGATTGTAAGCAACACTTACCGTTTTGCGCTCCGCGCTGGGCATGTTCCACGAACTTGGCCAAGTTCATCGCACTGTTGGAACCGAACGTAAGGGTCAAATGGAAAAACCAATCACACTGGGTGGCAACTTGTCACACTCTGTAGGTATCTGGTTGCGGCACGCACTTGATTGACGGCAAGCTGTCGACTGTCGAGCACTGGTCGCTACCGCCCGCCCGGTCGGTAGTCTAGTAGGCCGCTACTCGACCAGCGGTTTATGCCACGCCTTTCGCGCCACGCTATTGGCTGTGCGACGCTGGCGGGGAGCTGATCGTCGTTTTTTAGGGTCGGTCGCTGGGTCGCTGATGAGGCAGCGCGCGCGGCGCTGCGGTAAGCGCTGCCGCTTCATCGACACAAGACAAAGCGGGGGCTACGTCGCAATACTGTGAGCGGGGCAAGCTACCATAACAAGGGCCCGAGGGATGAGAGGCTAGAGGGATGCTGGGTACATATGATTTTGATTGAGGATCGCTGCTATAAATTGCGCACGATAAAACAGGGACATATGTTAGGGAGTAAGAGGTAGCGCTGATTACCAGTAGACCGGTGACTCTTTGCATTTCAGAATGTTCCACAGCTTGAGGATGAGGTTATTGATGCAATTTGTTAAAATTGTATAAAGATATGGGTACATGAAAAACAGTAAGGTTAAAAGACACGAGTCCACACGCGTATAGAATATAAGAATCAATATGTTAGATATGATGCAGAATCGACCAAAGCGCACTGGGAAGTCGGTTCCAATACATACCTAAATAGTGATGTATGTCGGTGCGAAAATTACCTTGCTAGACCTGAATCATGAAATCGAATATTACGAATAGTCCAATCCACTAGCAGAGACATACTTCATGTTCGGGCTTCTTGAAGCGGTGCCTAGTCTAAGCATCACACCCTTCTTTTTTTGGTGCTCCTCGGGACGATCACATACCGTGCGAATCATTTAAGGTTGAGGTCGACCGAGTTTCAATGTATAAGTAATCTCCACGTTGTCTGACAACGACAGCGAGGAAGATCACCAGTCTTTCGTGTTCCACGCTTCTCTCTCGACACACTGAAACTCGACCGACCACAACCGTAAATGATTTGCAAGATATATAATCCTAATACTTGTTGGCGTATTTTAAGGTTCAGTGCTCTGATGGGCCGCCCCATAAAAGAACCGATAAAAGCTGAAACTATTTATTGGGGCACTTAATCACAGTGACCGATTTGTGAAGCTCCCAACGATTGAAAATTAAAGAATGGGTGCAGAGGTTGGCTCAACTCTATCAATGCTTGAAGAGGATGTCTTTGTAACATATGAAGAACGGGGTGGCTTTGGCGGCGCCGCTTGATTGATCTCAATATCTCGGTTCGCCTAGCGGAGGTTACTCCTAGATTTGTCCTTTCTTGTGCCGTACTCGCAGCCTGCAGTAGTAGTCCTATATTTTATTATTAAGAGAGCTGATCGACCACTTGAACCACCTGGTGCTTTGAGGACTACCACTTTGTGTTTCGTATGAAATTCGTAGACACTTTTCCAATAGAGTGGATAAAACAAATCCGATTATTCAACCCTCATTTTTCTCCTACTAAAAACGCACTCCTGGCTCTTTGATCTTCTGAAATTAAATTGCCAGATTTTTCTAATTGGGCCATTCGTCCATAGCTTCTCATCATTTATCATTTGGGCACAAGTGCAATCTCTTACACTAATCGTCAAGTCATGGACAAGCTGCAATATCCACTAAAATACTAGTACTTTCGGAAAGACAGCACTGAATCTCAAATATGATGAGTCGATAAAATAAAAATACAATTAGTACGTTCTTTCTTCCAATTAGCTCGCGGATGAGGAATATTAACTGCTTTTTTATAGGTACATGTATACAACTTTATTCAAGCTGAAAAAAGACACTGGAAAACAGGCTGAAAGACGGCAAACTATCGTTTGAAACTAATCTAAAATCAGATTACTAAAATGAATAATCAAGTATTAATGCAAAAAACTTACATAAGTGACAAAACAATTAACTGTATCCAGAATGCACCAAATTGGCCGTAGTAATAGCAGGCATTTGAAAAAATTACTCCTCAAAGACTGAATGCCAAGACTGCGTATTTTCTTCTATAATAAAAATATTTCCGATAAAGTTGATTATCTAATTTTTTTTGCTATTGACTGCAGGATCGTTGTCCGTAGGTCACTCTCTCAGCTTGTATGACATATCTGGAAAACCAGGCACATCTAGTGGAAAAAATATAAAAGGCAAAGAATACTTGGAACAAAAAGAGCAAGCAAAAAGTAAATATTCAGGTGGGGACATGCCTAGGTATTACTAACTTGGTGTTTCAAGTAATTTTTGAGTAATTAAAAAATCAATTTGATTTGCGTTAGATGAATTATGAGATAATCTTGTATCACAGTGCGATACCTACTAATTTGGTCCACTCGTTCACGCAAGAGAATGTTTCTGTTTGACTATAATGGAACGTCCTAACTGGTGTGAAAAAGCTAATTGAAGTTCTATTATGAACTACGTCTTTGAGTTGATACGCCACTGGTTCTCATAGCGGTGGACGTGTAATCAAGTTGTAGGGAAGATTGGATGCCTGTAGCAATACAGAGGGTGGTTGAAACGTGATGGAAAGGAGGGAGTGGGGATTATTGAGCGTTTGTCTGTCGCCACCGCGCCGGGCACAAACAAGAAGCCGATTCGATGGTGGAAAACTCCATGGAAATGGAGACAGCTTCCATTTCAGGATGTATGGAAACGTATGGAGGGGTGAAGCGTCACACGGAAAATCATTTTAAAAACGTATTTTTCATCGTAAATTCCTGTATTGTATACCGCATCGCTATTGGTTTGTTTAAACACGTTTCAAATACACATTTCTATTATATTTAATAGTATATCAGCACAAAAGACCAAAGAATCGCTTTTGAGCATTTACTTACCAGAACTGATTGGGATAGCTAATCATGGTAAGCCTCCGACGAAAGGGATATTACAGATGAAACAAACATAGAGAAAACTTCGCACTTGCATTTATAAAAGTACCTATAAAGTTTGCAAAATAAGTGAAGAGAAACTAAAAACAGACGCCCCTATAAAATAGACCAAAACATAACACGAGAGATTCATATACAGCGGTCCTGATGCTCCATTACCAAGATGTTGAAGTTATAATTTTCGAAAATATCTTCGGTGTGGATTATTGATATCGTTCGTCCTTGAGAAGGCACCAGTAATTGTTCTGTACTGCCCACGCAACGCCGTCATCAGTTCAAAAGAGGATTATCTTCTGTGAACAAAGTTAGCTACGAACATGTACAACGAAGAATTAAGATATTTCTAAGCTTTAAGGGTCAATATATGATAAGTGAAATATATTTGTTAGTTGCTTAGATAAGCCCTCCGCCACCCACTGAAATGCCTAACCCTATTTTAACCCAACAAAAATCTTTCCAAAAATGCTCAGGAGGATCCGGAACGTCAAAAAACGTTTGAGAGAATTTACTTTTTTCCATTTCAGGCGTCTGGACCGATTCTCGAAAATTAGGAAGCGTTTGACCTTGACATAGTATTAAACTTGTGTGAAAATTCCAAGAATTAATTGACAGAACGACAGATAGACCGACGAAGTTAATGACATGGTAAGAAGTAAAACTATATTTTACGCCACTGATCTTTTTGAAACATCGGTTGCATTTTTGAAGTATTAAATTTTACATAAATCATGTTTCCTGTTTAAATTTTACCAGACTACTGATTTTAGAAAGATTGTTTTGAACATTTGAGGAAAAACTTCATCTGGTTCTACTTTGAAAATACGCTGAAGTTAGTGTCATTTGAAATTTACAGGTATGTAGTGTATTAAGAAATTGATCCCAAATCATCATAGCGTTAGCTGTTCATATTGTTTTCTTATTGGCGTAGACATTTACAACATACCGACTCGGTATCTTGGTATTGGGGCATTTTAAGATCGTTATTTATATGAACCGTTCTCTGAATCACCTTGTATAACGATACGTCGTCGCCAAACTAATTTCTTATGTATGCTAAATTAAAATAATTCAAATAAAAGCACGTGATGAAAAATTAAGAAAAAATATGATTTTTGAGCTATCATGAATCTAAACTGAATCAACAGCAGCAATATTTGAGAAGGCGTGTTATCTATAAATTATTACTTGTAAACAACGTATTGCCTCAGGTGAGTACATGTGACGTATTTTTTATATATTTCCAACATATCAGTGCTACTGTGCCAGACACTTCGAGCTTTGATATCAGCTCTCGAAATCAGCACATGAAACGAATTTTTCCGTACAATATTTATATTTTTATCTAAACGCATTGACTACCAAAACCTGAAAACTGATAACAGTGGAACCTTTGATCCAGCCGCTCTTTATTGTAACCGTGTTATTATCGCTTAGTATTAATATACGACCCGTCGTCTGCTGTCGTAAAGAGTTTTTTTTGAGTTCACAGGAAAACGAACGATTTTTCTCATTATTTGTATTAAACTTGCTATAATCATGAAATCGAACAAAGTATTTAGTGGATAAGAAGAGGAAATTGAACGAAAATGCTAAAATGATTTATCCGCCATAATGTGTGTGCTCTTGTCGTATACGCGATATTTGTATGGTATTCTGGACCGTATGGTATAATATACTACAACTATTTAAAACTGTAATGACTCATACGCGTGATCAACACGTGATCAGAGCTCGATCCCGGCTTCCTTCCAGTACAGCCGTATAGCGTACGACATATGTCGTTTCTGTGGCTTTGCGGTGGTCAACAGCACAGACAGAGATGGAAATAATGGCTGATTGTTCTCCACCGGTAGAACCAATGAAATCAAAGACGCGCCTCGACCGGCAGACTCATAGGCGTGGGCAACGCATTGGAACGTGTTTCGTTGAGCGATCGCATATTGTGTGTTTTTATAAGAATTGTTGTGTGATTGTTATTGTTGTGGTTTCTGTGGTTACTGTTTTGGTTATACTTAACCATGGAGAGTACAAATGGCACGAGTGGAAGTACTGAAAGCCAGGAAACAAGTAGACGGCTTCGCAAAGCACTGAAGAGGAACGCGAAAGAAATTGTGCTCAACGTGTTCAATTATCTGAACAGAACTATGTCGCAGGG